TTTTTACTCATATATATGGTTCTCAGTCTATTGCTCATCACTTTATCAAGCAAAGCAGATGTTTACACTTTTCCACAATTTTTTTGGAAAGTTTTTTTTTTTTTTAACTTCAACGCAAGGACTGGATTTGGAACTTTATTTTTATTCCCTTCAATGCAAGGACCACATTTGGATTTTGTTTATGCTCGCTGTATGTGGTCTGTACTTTCCTACACCTTCTTCATAACTAGGTCATTGAATTTGAATTTTCTAAGTCTTCAAAAGTTACAGTTTGATTTTTATTTCTGGCAAGGTTTTTGTAATTAATTTGTTATTTCAATTTATGGATTCACTCTTCAATTCAAGTAGAACACATATTGCTTTTTTGGTTAGTGATTTAAAAGTGGCCTTTTAAACTTTATGTTTTTACACGATTTTTTAATTGTCTTTGACAATTTATTAATTGTCTTCAACAACGTATTAATTTTTTTTTATTTTCTAGGTTTTTGGGGTTAAAAAAATTTTGTGCAGTTTTCAATGTTTTTTTTTTAGACTTTGGTAGAAAGCTTCTAAAGAACAAGAAGGTGTCATTGATTACATAAATGGCAAGGTATCAAGTTTATTGTCATATAGCAATTCATATCATGCAATATACATCAGACTATTTTTGATTTTTTATGTTTTTGACTTAATAGCAAAATACATCTTATGTTTTCGTTTTGGTTTCTATTAGCCATGAATAGATTTAGAAGGTTGCTGTGTTCCTATGACTTGATTGATTCTGAATTCTATCTTTTATTAATATTTCATTCGGCTTCTTTTCTTTTCACATTAACCTTTATGCCATTTAAATTAAGCACCAAAATTGATGTTTTGGTAACGGGTTGGCCATTCTTTTGTTTATAGAAGATCAGCCAAGTTTTGATCTTCCCTATTTTTAAGTTTTTGAATATCATCATATTGTCGATTTTTTTTTTTTTTTACATTTTTGAATTATTAATCACTGAATTAGATGTTTAAATTTACATTATAAGACTATTTTTGAATAATAATGTATTTAAGAAAGGTTATCATAGATTATACAATAAATTTGTATTTTATGTAAATATTTTTATGAACTACACTAAATAATTTATATTCTACGAATGGGTGCAAAATTAGTTTGAAATATATTGCTGAATGGACACCTGTCAAAAAAAGAAGGCCCCTTTTGATTTAACCCGTAGGTAGCTGCATAATTAATGCAATAAAGCTCGGGAAAACACAACACTCTTTCACGTGTGCCTAGTTTATTTGGTTTGGTAGAATTGAAGAATTGTTCCATCACGATTCAAGTATCACAACTTCCTTAGCATTATTCTTTAGGCAACCTTTCTAGTATAGTCTCGGCTTGGACCCCACCAATCTCTCTCTTTTTTTTTTTGAAGATGACCCCACCAATCTCTTTAAGCCTTTTAATCAAGAGGTGTCCTGGGGAAAAGATTGTGGGTCCAAAATGTCAGTGCACCCCCAAGATAGATAGAGGCCTCGACTCAAGTGTTGATTTTTTTAAAAAAATTTAAAATAAATTGAAAAATTGTTTTGATACAGGAGGTCAACCAGTAGTGTGTTTGGATTGTAAGTTATTTGTCCAAATATATTTGCTTACATCACCATTATAATTTCCAATACACCTTTTTATCTTCCCAATTACCTTTTTATCTCACATACATCACATCACAAAAAGTGCTACAGTAAAAATATCTCAAATAACTTACAATCCAAACACACGTATAAATTATATGTGAATATTATTTTTCTTGTAGAAAATATCTACTAGTTCCTTCTAAAAATAATTTGATTAGTTGGATTAACTTGAATTAGACGGATAACCTAACCTACCTTCAAATGGAAAGCAATCTTAGTAATATGTTACTAGTATTTTAAGCGATTTCAAACTAGTTAGTTATAGTTATGTAGCGATTCTAGTGAATCCATCCATCCACGTTGCATTCTTTGACTGGATCACCTCAATCCTAGTACAAGCAACACTTTTTCCCTCGAGCTCAAGCAAACGTAATTGTAATTCTTTGACTTGTCAACATGCAAACGTAATTGTAATTCTTCAGGTTCCAAGTCAGCAAGAGCAAAGCCACTTCACTGGACATCATGCTTGAAAATAGCAGAGGACGTAGCTCAGGGCCTCTCCTACATTCACCAAGCTTGGAGGCTCGTCCATGGCAATCTCAAGTCTTCCAACGTCCTCCTTGGCTCCGACTTCGAAGCCTGCCTTACCGACTATTGCCTTTCCGCCCTTGCAACCACCATCGCTGCCACCGCCGCCTCCTCCGATGAGGAGCACCCTGATTTTAAGGCCTATAAAGCTCCGGAAGCACTCAAGTTCAACAACGACCAAACTCAAGCCAATACTACAACATCCAAGTCAGATGTTTACTCATTTGGGGTTCTTTTGCTTGAGCTTCTCAGCGGGAAGCATCCGTCGCAACTTCCAATTCTGATGCCCGGCGACATGATGAACTGGGTGAAACTAAGCAGGGATGAGGAAAATAGAGGGGAAGACAACAAACTAGAAATGCTTCTTGAGGTGTCTATTGCTTGTAGTGTCGCCTCCCCGGAACAGAGGCCGACAATGTGGCAAGTCTTGAAAATGATTCAAGAGATTAAAGAGGCTGTTATAATGGAGGAAAATTGATCGAATATACGCACCAGACCTGGTCAGCTCTCAGTGAGCTAGTCGATGTCGGTCTTTCTTGTATATTGGTATTTTCTTTTTCTTTATTTATTTATTTTTTTTTTTTTTGCATTTTATAACGGTGAGAAGTTGCAATGCTACCACCCTTAAAGCTCTTGCAGGAAAGTAAAATTAAGCTTTAAATTTAATAATGCCGCCATTCTTTTAAATACTTTTCACATTCATTTAACACTCGCACCTAGCCGTAGAAAACCAATTGAACAAGGAACTAAAGCTAGGGATATCGTACGTACGCTACAGCTCACAACCACAAGAAACCAAAAAAAAAAGAAATTTTTTTTTGCATTCCTTCCACATAGACAACAAACAGAAAAGTTTTTGAGAGAGTCAAATGATTTATCAAATCAATAAACGATCTCACACGATAACTAAGTAAGTGCAGTAATCATATCTTTGATGCTTTCAATGATCCATCTAGCTAGTACATTTTCCCAAGGTAATTAACAAAATCTCAAGTGAGATTCTATACAACTCTCTAATTACAAGTATTACTCCTAAATTAATATATTGTGACTGTTATCCTTTTGTTTCTGCTGAACGAACTTCTTAACGATAAAGAAATGGAAGAAATTATAGAATTGCAAAAGAATGATAAAATTAAGGCGAATTGACTTTATGCATCAACGTATACTTCTAAGTTGCCAAGGTTAAGGACATAAACTCATTGTGCCAAGGCCTTTTGATGTCTCATTGTTTTTGAGATTATAAATCTTGCCCCTCCTAATTATGTGTTGCCTTTCATAAAGAATAACTTGCATAAATATATTACTACTAGTCCCTAAAACCTAGCATAGCATAGCATAGCTGCTAGGTACATTAATCAAGTGACCATGCATGCGGTCTCCAGTTTCAACTCTCCAGCACTCTCCTTTTTCTTTTCCTGTTGTAAGATTTAGAGTCTCCAAAGAAAATATAAAAACTGCTAATAATGTTGTTTTATGTTTACATTAGGGTAAGGGTGTTATTTTTTATTTTATTTAGTGCAAATGGGAGGTTTTGAACTCGGAATCTCACTTAAAGTCGCCTCCTACCACTCAATCCATCCCACCCTCCAGGTAAGGGTGTTATTTGAACCGCAACGGATCTTCTGTCTCACACTCTGTGCCATTCTCTGTCCCACTTTTTATTATATTGTTATTTCTCCTTCATAAACATCATGTTTTAGTTCTTTTTTATTTTTTTATGGTTCAATAACTATTAATTCAGTAAAAAATAAATACAACAGCTTCAAAAAAACAATATATAATATAAAATTAAAATATACAGCAGAAAATGCATAAAAAATCTCAATTTTTTATGCATTTTAATTTTTTGAGTTTGTTAAATTTTGTGTATTACTGAATTAATAGTTATTGGATCTTAAGGAAGCAAAAAAGAACTAAAACATGATGTTTATGAATGAGAAATAGCAATATAATAAAAAATGGGACAGAGTGTGGGACAGAAGATCCGTTGCGTGTTTGAACTCTCGCATGTCGTTATCCAAGTCCAAAAGAGACCCCATTTGACAAATGAGTTTTTTGGATGTTTATCTAAAACTTTATGGTAGTTTTCGGTAAAAGATGTAGGAAAAATTTTTAAGATGGAAATTTTTGTTCTTTTCTTTTTCCTTTTCTTTCCTATCTTCTTTTTCTTCCTTCTCTCTCCCCTATCACCTCTCCTTCCCAGCCGGAACAAGCGAAACAATCTTTTTTTTTTTGTTTTTTTCTCTCTTCCCCTCTTCTCCCTCTTCTCCCTCTTCCCCTCTCCTCCCCTTCCCCCTCCTCATCTCCCTCTTTTGCCACCCTTCCTCTTCTCCTAGCACGATTTGGTCGCATGACCAGATTCGGCAGAGAGGGCAGGAGAGAGTGGTTGGGGGGGGGCAAGAGAGCGAGGTGGCGAGGAATAGGGAAGGAGAGGAGGAGAGGGATGAAGGAGGATAGAAAGAAAGAAAAAAAAAAGAGGTGGCCGGTGTCGGAATCGAAGGTGGTGGTGGGTTGAGGTGGAAGATGGAAATTTTTTTGGTGTATTTTAGGTATTTTAAAGTGTGTAATTTAAAAATTTTGAAGAGTTTTTTGAAATTATTGAACGTAAAGTTGTTAAAAAATTGGTAGAAGACAAATTTAGCCAAAAGCTCGTTTGCTAAATAGACCCGAGTTCTTGGATGAAGGAGCTTGTTTTTTTTGTGTGTTGTGGGTTAAGTTGCTGAAAGATTGGCACCACAAAACTGACGCAAGTCCAGTCCTAAACAAAGCCCAAAAGGCCCTAAAAAAACTATCGCTTCGAAAGTACAATTGCCAGCGACAACAACTACTGTTGAAAAGAAGAAATTCCTAGAACCATCCAGTTCCAAATCGGAAAAGTTCTCCCCTCGGCCTTGGCCTTGAGTTTCTCTGTTTTTTTTTTTTTTTTTGGACATTCTTTTTAAGCACACAACTTCTTCGTAAGAAGTGGTATCTGCAATTATTTCTGCATAGATACCATATTACGATAATTATTTATTTATTTATGTATTTTTGGTGGAATGAGAATATAATCGATTAGTATTAAGAAACGAAGCATTTTGTGGTGAGACTGAAAATTGATATGCCATGAACCACGGGATGGATGCTGACATGATGGAGGCGGATTCCACCTCCTCGCCACCGCCACCGCCACCTATTCCGTCCGACCAGAGCGATGTCATGACGGGTCTGCTCTCGACGGCTCGCCAACTAATTCAGCAAGGCAATCCTTCCCAAGCTCTCCATGCGGTAATTAATTTATTACTCCTCTCTCCCGTCCTTCCTTGTTCTAATTCTTTTGATTTTCTCGACTCCTACAAGTAATCTCTGTTGTTATGGCTGATTAAGAAATGGGCTTATTTGCAGAGTTGTTTGTTATATTTATTTTTTACGTTTATTCACGTTGGTACTTGGAAGCATCTACGGGCCATGAGCTGCAGATCTATTGGTTATTAAGTAGAGATTTTATTCGTGATTTTATATGTTTCCTAGAGTGCATTGTGCTCAAATTTCTTGAATATGTTTCAAGTAACGAATTCAACTTTGTTTGTGCCTCTCTGTGCATGGTTCAACTAAAATCTTATTCTCTACTGTGTACTTTGTCGAACCAATCTGGAAAGTCATCGTAATCAATGCTTTCTGTTTTTGATGCAAATTAACGTCTTACTAATCGCTATCATGTCCAATTCTGCCACGTGAAGCTACAGTGCATGAGGGAAAATGGGGGAGGGTTTGACCTTGAGGGCCAAAACCAGGGCACCTCATTTTGCTCTGCTGATGTCACATCCTGTTGGGGATTCTACTTTTGATTTGGCCATGGACCATTTGGTTTCTAGCAAAGCAGCGAAGCATACCTTATTCCTCCTCAAGGGGCAAGAAGAAGAGGGATTTTATTTGTATTGAATGAACTGCAATAGCTGCATATCAATTTTTTTTTTTTTTTGGGTGTGCCCTCCTCTTTGGTGTCGAGTTTTTCAGTGATGGTAGTTGTCTAGGATTCTCAGTGGGGTTTGTTGTATTTTCACTTGCCAGAATTGATGTAAGAATTTTAGTCCCATTAGGTCACTTGAGGATGACAGTTAAAGAGAGTTAGTAGATACTGACAGAATTGTTGCTATAATTTGCTAAATTGTTAACAGTAGCCTAGTTAAATTTAATGTTCGAGTTTGATTCGTTATACTATTTCTTTTGATGTTAATATGCTTTAACAATGGCCTTTGAAAATTAAGATCGTAAACAATATGGTTAAGGAGACTTTTAATGTTATGTAAGGAGTGCAAACTAAAACTATGAAGCGACATGAATTCTGACTTGTGAGACCACAGCATTCTACATAAATATTCTGAGGCTTGTAGTACTGGATGAGATATTAGTGATTTGAATTGTAAACCATGGCTAAGTTACAAATGTTTTCAATTTATCATTTTTGTAGTGTGTACCTTTAGGCTGTTGGAGGTTGTAAATGCTCGTCTTTTGTAGTGCGGACATGGATTGATGGTTTCAATGTGTCATTCTTTTGTACTGAAAATGCTGTTACATTTTAAAGCTTGAGGAATGGTTACTTCATTTGAACGTATCTAATTATAGTTCTTGTTGGTAGCAGGTGGTGATTGCAATGAGGATGAGAGGTGGGGAAGAGGCTGTATATCATGCTCTTAACCGGGCTAGGGAGCTGTACAGGAACAAAGTTCAAGAAAGTATTGCTGCTGATGAGTTGGCAACCCTGCTTGCTGAGTGTGCACTTGCAGAGGCAACGCCGTTGAATTCTCAATCATCTCAACACAACAAGGTGGACCAATCTCGTGAGCTTGATGTTGATGGAACTTCAATACTTGCAGAGACCGGCAGGAAGCAGATTGTGCTGGATGCATTTTCTGATGGAAGCAGCTTTGTTTGCTTGCAATGTGGAGGTCTTGTAAGCAATGAGCGGAAGGAGGAGCATTATGCTTTTTGGTGTTGCAAAACCTGAGTTCACTTCTTACTGGGATCAGAAGTGGCAGATTTAGGATTGAGCTTTAACCAAAGGGAGAAGGTCATGTATGAGGATGATCTATGTATCGCTCAATGTGATGAATAATGCTGTTCAATTCCCTCTATTGTATATATTGTATACTCGAAAGAAAATGCTCAGAGTTTGACATCACCTTCGTATCTTAAAAAGGGTCATGATTCTGGGCACTAATTGAGAGTCAATGAATATTTAAGGAGATGAAGTATGATACGGTCCTGTTTCAGAATAGTTGTCTTCCCTACATGTTCATTGACATGAATGTAAGTTTCTTTTTAAGGGGGAAAAAAAGGAAGAGAGGGGGGAAGGGTATATTTTGATTAAAAAAAAAGGTCAAGATGAGAGTGATGGACTAGATAAGTGTAAGATTTGGTGGAATGGAGACTAATTGCCTTTTTTTTTTCTTTTGAGAATATTAATTAGCTTGCTGTTTTAATCATCCTACTTTACTGTGCAGCACTTAATTTTGAGTTGAGAGTTCAGACTTCAGAATGTAGTCGAGGTGGCTGGAGAATAAATAGATGCTTACGTACATAGTGTTCCAAAAATAGATATAGGTGTTCTTTCTATTATTTGTTTTCTGAATTTTATCATACATAAACATGTGATAGTGAATGATTAAATTTGCTTCCTATCAACATCAATATTTATATTTATCCATGAATATTCTATAATACTAAAAAAGTTTCAACCTCCATTAAATTGCTTCTTTCTAAAATAGTGAGGTCTCCCTAAGTTAGATGCATCATTCATTTGCCTGCTGATAGAAGGCCAGAAGGGTAAAGCATCGTATTGGTGCAATTTGCAAAGCACCAATACCTAAATTATGAAGCACTCCTAGCAAAAACGTCTGGTTGAAATTTAATCCGATATCTGACACTTTTTGTCTAAATTAAACAACAAAAGAAAAGAAGAAAAAGAATCATCAATAGACTGTGTGTGTGTGCGTGAGAGAGAGAGAGAGAGAGAGAGAGAGAGAGAGAGAGAGAGAGAGTCAAATTGTTTGCAACATTATATATCCTTTTACTTTTACTTTCTTCCAGTTAAGGGTAAGAATAAAGAGCAGTACAATATAGTGCTAAAATGGGAGGCTTTCTCTCTTTGTCCTTTGCAGAAATTCGATTGTAGTTGCACACAACTAAGATACAAACTAGAATCTAGAATAAAAGAACCTCACTGCTATAAAAAGAATGCTTAAGATTCATTTCTTTGCACAAAATCAATCTTTCAGGCTTTAACACAATATATACTAAAATGAATTGGCGAAAACTAAAGGGGAAAACCTAAGAAAAGAAACGATTAGAAAAGATTATTGACATGCTTCAGTCAGTTATTGAAGAGACAGCTCCCTTCAAAATTTTTATATTTGACCAAAATGTTGGCATGACCACAAAGATTTACAGTGGTGAATTGGCGTTGCAACTCCCCCATTTATCATTTGATTTTGTTGCTGCTTCACGCTGGAGTCCTGCGTGATGACACCACATGGATTGAGATGATGCAGCTGATGAACTTCAACTTCTACAAAATTCCAAGTCTGAACAAAACTTCCAAACTTCAGTTGGTCCTGTACAAGAATCGACAAAAATTTCCCCGAACTGCCTTTTCACACAGCACCTGCTTCATATGCAATAAATATATACATGCATATGTAAGAAATTCATCGCCATAACTCAGGAACAAGAACAATTGGCACGGGAAAAGAAGGATTAATCCACAAGTATATAACATAGGTTATTGGGAGTCTAGCAATGTCAGCAAAATACAAGTCATCCTGAAAGACAATGAAATCATTTACTTGATTTTAGGACTGAAAAGCAGCTAAATTTACCTGCAATCATTTCCACGTACTTCATTGTGCCATGTGTTGAGAGCCGAAAAGGGAAGGAGAAGAATGTACAAGCAAGAACAACAAACTACCGTCTATTTCTACACATGATATCCGGTAGAGCCTGCTGGCGAGGCCTTGCTCTCATGATAGTCTCGTCACTGTGTCTAATCCATTCTGAGAGTTTCCATGGCTTCTGCCACTTCCATTTGAACTGTAATAGCCATTGATGATGACTCCTCTTCCACCTCCATAATTTCCCACCTTGCCCGACGACTGCCAATTTCTTCATTGATAACTGTCCAATTGGCATCATCTGCAAAACCCGAGCTTATCACGTGTGAAACCAACCAGGCAAATGGACAGTAAACTGGTAAAAGAAAACATGCAGTAAAGCAACCTTTCGAGTTTGATCCATGAAGGCTGCTGACTCTCTTACTGAAGCATTAGCAATGCCTGCAGTATACTTGAGCTGTTTCTGTGCTGGCACAGGGATCGGAGACAGGGGACTGCTCATCTCATCAGCCAAGTGTTTGTTAGAGTTAGCCTGTTCATGGAGAATTGTACATAATCAAAAACCTGCTTAAAGGAATAACAGCAAGAAAAGGAACTGAAGGATAGAAAGCAGTAGAAACTAGTGTAACTTGCATGAGAACTGTTGAATTAGATGCAAATATGAGGCCAACAAGGTCGAGTGAAGTCAGAACCAGCTCCGTAGAGGTGATTCATAAAGAGAAATAGTATTCAGTGACATCTTTTAAGTCCATAATTTTTTTCCCTCCATCAAAATGGCAAAGCAGCCCCAATGGAACATGTAGGAGCATTGCAAATGAAATGGAGAACTAAATGAAACTATTACAAGAATGTGGAAGCTTACGGGTGGCGGTGTGGCCAATCCACTGGCAACCGCCTGCTCTCTAACTTTGAGCTCCTTCTCAGTTTCCTTTCTTCTAATTTCACTCTGTCGCAGTAAAACCACAAGTTCTTTGAGCTGCTCCTTCATCTCCTTGATTTCAATTTCTTTGTCCCACAACTGGCACCTATGAATAGCGTTAGAAAATGATGAGGTGTGTTTTGAAAGTCAAATTCCTCGTTGCCTGACGGATATATCTTTTTAGATGGTAAAAGTTTCAGAAAAACGTGTGTTGTAATGAAAATTTGACACTGTTGCAAAGCAACAATACTTTCCGCTAGCTATTCAAGCTCACCAAGACACCAAGTCTATTCATGTCGCAGGCAAGAATATGGGGCAGCTATTAAGGGACCTACATTCTGTTCCCTCTATCATGTGTCTATTTGATAGAAATGGAAAGATGAATTCTAGTTTGGCACCTCAAAGAAGTAAGTAAAGAAAGGTGTCAAAATAAGAAAGCAGGCCACCATATAACAGGGCTAAGTAGTTTGGCACAAAACACACCTAAAGACATACTGCACTTAACATTCAAGCTTTGAGGATTATTTATAAAAGAAATTTCAGAGCCCTGCCAAAGAAAAAGGGATGGAATCTGCAAAAAAGCTAGAGTCTAGAGCAGGTAGAAAAAAACCTTGCATCTCCAAGAGAATTAAACATGTACTGGAGCAAGTTTCTGGCATCCCCCATGGACCGTAGTTGATTCCATCGTCCACGACTAGTAAAAGCTCGCTCCCGTTCTTCAGCTTCTGAAAGCTGTGAAGCCATTGCTACAAGTGAGTTGGATGAGATGCTTAGCATGTTTTCAAGAGAAGCAATTCTTGCTATTCTTGCATTTGGTGACATTGAAGCTGCCCTGAACCCAATAAGATATTAAATAGTTAGTCTATGACAGGCATTGGTGCATCAATTCAACCTTAAAGCCACAAACTTCAAGCTTACAAAATCAAATACTGGACAACATCCAAGAAATAAGAAATTTAAAGAAAAGGAAAAAAATCCACACCTAGATAAACCATTTTTCACTCTTGGAGGGCTCATTCCTTTCGCTGCAAATTCATCTGCTTGTCTCAAGACAGACAACTCTTCTGCCAATGCTGCTCTTCTGCAGATGAGGAAACAAGCAACCAAATGAATGAAAATTTTCCTCCACAAAAATAATCTTTAATGCCAGCACAACATTGTGATCGAAGTGATACATACACTTGACACTGCTTCTCGTACTCATAACGTACTTCGTGAACATTCACCATCACTTCTAGTTCATGGTCAAGCCAGCGCTGCAAGGATTTCTCATTTCCCTGAATACAAAACTTGGTATCATCAAACAATTGCCAAGTTAAAGATACAAAGAATGACATGCAGAGGGCAAGGTCTGACCATTACCTGCCCATTGGAGCCAGTTCCATTGCTAGTTACTGCAAGAAAAACAAAGCAGTGAGAAACGAGAAAGCACTGTGCACATTTGAAGCAAAATTGTGGTAAAGAAGATATTTCATTCTATTAACCAGTAGAAGTTCCATCACACCAGTACATTATCAAATTTCCATTTGTTTGAGTTCTTAATATCCAACATTTTTTACTTCAATAAAGAAAACAAAGGACTGAAATTAAATAAACAAAAAAACATTAAGCACAAGCTAAAGAGATCCAACCTGAGTTGTCACGACCTGAGGATTTACGTGCTTCTAGCAACTCTTTGAGCCTTTTAGTAGCCATTGCAGCCTCTTCTGTTTTTCTTTGAAGAACCTGCAATGAATTTGTCCCATTAAAGCGCATAAATGAATTTACTCAATAGGGACATCCAACATAAAACATGGTTTTATTTAGAAGATGAGAATTTGAACTGAAGGTGGGCTGTCAGAAATCCCAATATACACATAGGAAAACAAGAAAGATTCATAGACTTTTTTCACCCTTGAAATTCAAATGCATTGTCAACTTCACAAGTCAAAAATTGGAAAATATTTGTTTTTATGTTAAAAACTTCATGGCTAGAAAATAAAGAACAAGTACTTAGCCAGTTTTTTTTTTAAAAGGCAATGAACAGATGGAGAATTTGTGAGAGACAATCAATGATGTAAAATGAACCTTTAAAGGAAGCTGTGAACCTTTCAAGGAAGGATGCAATATTGGTTAAGAAAACTAGATAAGTATCTTCTATTCTACTGTTTAGTATTTGAACACTGATTTGGGAAGTTTAAGTGGGAAATACAATGAACACCAATACCTCACTCACCATATTATATTACTGCATTGTGGGTTACAAACAAATGAGAAATCTGGATTATTTCAAATTGGCATCAAAATCATTTTTCAGACTAAATGAGATCCTACCATTTTCTGACGCTGATTCAAAGCTTGCAGCTTGTGCCTTTCATACTCGTTCCTTCTTCCCTCTTTCTTCAACTGCAATTGTATGGATATGCATATTAATACACAGCATAATGTATCATAATCTATGTGGTTATAAATGAAGCGAATCAATAATCA